TAGCGCCACCTTCATTCAGCCCAGGGCCTGATCCTGGAGGCCCAGGATCAAGTCCTTCGTCAGGGTCCCTGCATGGAGCCTGCTCCTCCCTCAGCCTGTCTCTCTCTCTGTGTCTCTCATGAATAAACAAATAAAATCTTAAAAAAAGAAAAAAAAAGTCCCAAGGTCATGGAAGATTGAGGAACTGTCACAGATGGGAAGAGAATACAGAAACATGGCTATTAAATGCACTGACTGTGTAGGGATGCCGGGGCGGCTCAGCAGTTGAGCGTCTGCCTTCAGCCCAGGGTGTGATCCTGGAGTCCCAGGATCGAGTCCCACATCAGGCTCCCTGCATGGAGCCTGCTTCTTTCTCTGTCTATGTCTCTGACTCTCCCTCTCTCTCTCTCTCTCTCTCTGTGTCTCTCATGAATGAATGAATGAATGAATGAATAAATAAATAAATAAATAAATAAATAAATAAATAAATAAATCCTTATAAAAAATGCACCTGTGCAATCCTAGACTGAATACTGGAACAGAAGAAGGACATCAGTTAAAAAAAAAAACAAACAAACCTGGGCAGCCCAGGTGGCTCAGCGGTTTAGCGCCGCCTTCAGCCCAGGGCCTGATTTTGGAGACCCGGGATGGAGTCCCACGTTGGGCTCCCTGCATGGAACCTGCTTCTCCCTCTGCCTGTGTCTCTGCCTCTCTCTCTCTCTCTCTGTGTCTCTCATGAATAAATAAATAAAATCTTAAAAAAAAAAAACTAATGAAATCCTTATAAATTTTGTACTTAAGTTAATATTGTAGCAAGGTTAACTCCTGGTTTGATAAATGTTCTACAGTTATTTATGATATTAACACAAGAGGAAACCAGGTAATGAGCACTGGGTGTTATGCTATATGTTCGCTAATTGAACTCCAATAAAAAATATACAAATATACAAAAAATGAAATTAAAAAAAGATGAATGGATAAAGAAGACGTCTATTTATACAATAGAATATTGCTGAGCCATTAGAAAGGATGAATACCCACTATTTACATCCACCTGGATGGAACTGGAGGGTAATGATACTGAGTGAAGTAAGTATCAGAGAAGGACAATCATCACATGGTCTCACTCATACATGGAACATAAGAAATAGTAAAAGGGATTATAAGGGAAAGGAGGGGAATTGAGTGAGGAAAATTAGAGAGGGAGATGAACCATGAGAGACTCCTAACTCTGGGAAACGAACGAAGGGTTGCAGGAGGGGAGGTGGGCAGGGGCATGGGGTAACCGGGTGACAGGCACCGAGGAGAGCACTTGATGGGATGAGCACTGGGTGTTACATTATATGTTGGCAAATTGTATTTAAATTTTTAAAAATGTCAAAAAATACAAAAAAATAATAAAATATTAAAAAAAGAGGAAACCAGGTAAAAGATATATCCGAATTCTCTACTATTTTTGCCACTCTTCTGTAAGCCCAAATGTTCTCAAAGCTTAAAACTGTTAAAAAAAAAAAAAACTGTTAAGAAATGCTTTGTGAAGTTAAAATATTTAATAAAAGTGTTGAGAGATGAAATTTAGCAAGTTTCTCAAAAAACTGAATAAATTTTTTTGAAGATTTACTTATTCATTTTAGAGAGAGAGTGAAAGTCGGGGAAAGTCAGAGGGAGAGAATCTCAAGCAGACTCCTCACTGAGCATGGAAACCTAACTCCGGGCTCAATCTCCCTACCCACAAGATCATAACCTGAGCCAAAACCAAGAGTTGGATGCTTTAACCAACTGAGTGATCCAGGCACCCCTAAAATTGACTTGCAGGCCAAGACACTTACCTGTGATTTGACAAAAGCTTTCCCTCCTTTGGGGAAGAAATAAGCGTATAAAATAAATATTGTTTCTAAGCATAGTACCAAAAAGCTTTAGTCATTTTGGTCCAAAAAGATAATTAATGAAAGGAAGAGAAAAGAATGAAATGTCCTATAAAAATGTTAGATCTTGGGATCCCTGGGTGGCGCAGCAGTTTAGCGCCTGCCTTTGGCCCAGGGTGCGATCCTGGAGACCCAGGATCGAATCCCACGTCGGGCTCCCGGTGCATGGGGCCTGCTTCTCCCTCTGCCTGTGTCTCTGCCTCTCTCTCTCTCTCTCTCTCTGTGACTATCATGAATGAAAAAAAATAAAAATAAAAAAAATTAAAAAAAAAAATGTTAGATCTTGGGCAGCGTGGGTAGCTCAGCAGTTTAGCACCACCTCCAGCCCAGGGCCTCATCCTGGAGACCCAGGATCGGGTCCCACATCAGGCTCCCTGCATGGAGCCTGCTTCTTCCTCTGCCTGTGTCTCTACCTCTCTCTCTCTCTCTGTGTGTGTCTCTCATGAATAAATAAATAAAATCTTTTTTTTTTAAATTTTTTTTATTTTATTTTTTATTTATTTACGATAGTCACAGAGAGAGAGAAAGAGAGGCAGAGACACAGGCAGAGGGAGAAGCAGGCTCCATGCACCAGGAGCCCGACGTGGGATTCGATCCCGGATCTCCAGGATCGCGCCCTGGGCCAAAGGCAGGCGCCAAACCGCTGCGCCACCCAGGGATCCCAAATAAAATCTTTTTTAAAAAAAAAAAAAGATGTTAGATCTTTCAGTCTATCCTACTTTAACACTGCTGGGCATCTATGACTGCTCGAATAGCTCTAGTACTTACTCCTAATGTTCTAATTTCTGACCCTATTTCCTTAGATCAAACTAAAATCTCAATAGATGAATGGATACAGATCTGAGGAGTGCCTGGCTGGCTCAGTCAGTACAGCATATGACTCTTGATCTTGGGTTGTAAATTCAAGTCCCATGTTGGGTATAGAGATTACTTAAAAATTAAAAAAAAAAAATCTTAAAAGAAAAAGGTGTGGGGCGCGTGTGTTTGCACACACACACACACCAGCACACACATGCGTGTACACACACAGGAATATTATTCAGCCATGAAAAAGAATGAAATCTTGCCATTTGCAACAACATGGATGGAGCTAGAGAGAATAATGCTAAGCAAAATCAATTGGAGAAAGACAAGTATCATATGATTTCACTCATAGGTAGAATTTGAGAAACAATGAGCAAAGGAAAAAAAGACAGAGATAAACCAAGGAAGACTCTTAACTATAAAGAAAAGATGGTTGCCAGAAGGGAAGTGGGGGGGGGGGGGAATGGTTGAAATAGGTGAAGGAGATTAAGAGTACACTTATGATGAAAACTGAGTAGTGTATAGAATTTTTGAACCACGGGGATCCCTGGGTGGCTCAATGGTTTAGCACCTGCCTTTGGCCCAGGGCGTGGTCCTGGAGTCCCTGCATGGAGCGTGCTTCTCTCTCTCTCTCTCTCTCTCTCTGGGTCTCTCATGAATTAATAAATAAAATCTTTTTAAAAAATTGTTGAATCACTATATCGTACACCTGAAAGTAATACGTTATGTTAAGCATAAGAATTAAAAAAACAAAAAAATTGTAAATAAATTTTTAAGAATAAAATCTACTTCACACTAGCCTCATATACTCAGAATCCTATACTCGAAGAGGCCAAAGAGATAATCTAATCCAGTGTTTCTCGAAATGCCATCCCAGACCAATAGCACCAGAATCTCTAAGAAACTGCTGGACATGCCAATTCTTTACCCCACTCCAAAACTTCTGAAACAGAAATTCTGGTGGTAGAGTCCTGTAATGGAATTTTAACAACCATCCAAGAAATTCTGATAGAGACTAAAATTTAAGAAGCACTGATCTTATCCAATTTCCCTCACTATAGAGTGATTTGCTTAAACAGAAGCAGCCACATCTGGGGCACCTGAGTGACCCAGTTGGTTAAACATCTGCCTTCAGCTCAAGTCATGATCTTGGGGTCCTGGGATCCAGCCCTGAGTCAAGCTCCCTGCTCAGTGAGGAGTTTCGTTCTTCCATTGACTCTTTCTTCCACCCCCACTTGAGCTCTCTCTCTCTCAAATGAATAATTTTTTTAAAAAAAGCAGCCACATCTAAAACCTAGGCTTTCAACCTCCAGTCCACTGCACTAATAATGACTTACCCCACACTGTCCCACCAGAGGTCGTAGCTCTTACCTCTGAGACAATAAAGCATAAATTGAATTCCTATTTCAAAAGAACACCACAATTATCTTATCTCCCTTTCCCTTTTATCATTTTCTGTTCCATCAACTTTTTTAAGATTTTATTTATTTATTCATGAGAGACACAGAGAGAAAGAGAGACAGAGAGAGAGAGAGAGAGAGAGAGAGAGAGAGAGAGAGAGAGAGCAGAGACACAGGCAGAGGGAAAAGCAGGCTCCATGCAGAGAGCCTGACGTGGGACTCGATCCCCGGTCTCCGGGATCACGCCCTGGGCTGAAGGCGGTGCTAAACCACTGAGCCACTTGGGCTGCCCTCCATCAACTTTTTGACATATGGTATGGTTTTATCTTGTTTTGCACAAAATTTGTCACTTTAAAAATGAAGTACAGCATTCCTGAGAGGCAATAGAAGCCCAAAAATTAGACGCTTAATTCCTTAAACCGATTTATACTATTATTTTCTATAGAGCTAATAAGTGTTTCTCATGTATCTTCTCTACTCCCATCATTTTTCTCCTTTCTGTATTTAGAGGAAATATTATTCAGTTTTATTAATCAATTTATGATTATTTTCCTACCTGATATCAAGGGTCACTCAAATGCCATATGTCCCACAGGCCAACTTCTGCAGGCGTATTGTACATAAATATGTAAAGATGAACAAGACACCATAAAGTTTAAGTAAACCCCAAAATATGTGCAATAAACTGAGAGGAAGAAAAATGAATACGGAATGAAGATTAAGTCATTCCTCTCCTTGATAAATCAAAACCAAGAGCAAAATTAAACAAGTTACTTGTTCAAAACTTAAAAAATTTCAATTAAATATACATAGACCCCAGATACCTTAGCTTATCAGAACTTCAAATTTTAAAATAAGAAAAATTTAAATAAGCTAGTAATTAAATTCTTACCAGGCCTGGTGTGGTATCTTCATCACTGTCTAGATCCTGACTGCTTTCCCTGTCAACTTCCCTGAGAATCACTGTATCTGAAGTGCTCTTGTGTTGTTGCTTGTCACTTTCAGTATAAACATCTAAGGATGTTTTTTGCAGTGTGGATTCTGCCTTAGAAGATGTGGCTGCCATCCTTGGAGTTAAAATCCTTCTGCAAGTTTTCCTTATTTTAGTCTTCTTACATTTCTTACATGCAACTTCATTGTTAGAATTCTTATCCAAAAGGGATTTGGGGTGCTTAGGTTGGTCTGGCTTGTAATTACTGAGTGAAAAGGGAACAAGAAACACCTTAGGTGTTTTTCCTAAAACCGTAGTCTGCACTGGTCTCAGAGACACACAAGTGATGTTTTGGTTTTCTTTATATTCATTCACCTATTCAGGTCAATAAAAGAAAAGAGAATATTAGAATCCCAGATCCTATGCCTTTTCTTACAGGTCTGTGTAAATAAATCTAATTCCTATTTTATCACAAAAACACAAAGCCAAACTGACAGCCTGTAAAGAAACTTCCCTGTCCCCCCCCCCATCTAGATACCTAACTCATTAACCTGAATTTAATTATTTATTATACTGGATGCATTTTTTACCCAAACTCTGCAGACCAATAACTGTGTAATAATAATAATGACTACGTTTGTAACTGAGATTACGCCAACTGTCAGCTTCTGAGTATCTGGAATTGTTTCCAGAGGGGGAAGCCGGCGATTACAACTGCCTCAAAAGCAAACGCAGAGTCCCTCATCCCACTCTGTCCCTATTTCTGGAGTTATTGATATGAACCTTCCCCAACGCTGAAGGTCGAGTTTCCATTGAGGAAAACGGGGCCGGGATCTTCCGAAACAACACCTCCGAAAAACCGGTTAGGCTGAGAGATGCCCCAAGGAGCGGGAAAAGTTACGGAGTGCGGAGGCGGGGGGTGCCAATTCTTCGCGGCCTCCTGGGCCTGATCCCGGCAGTCTCTCACGAACACAGAGGCAGGAGCAAACCCGAAAGCAACAAGCCATTTCTCACCTTCACCTGGAGTCGCTGTCTAGACAAGCCCGCCTTCTCCTCACTACCCGCGCGCGACCCAGACATCTTTCCGCGGCTCAGCAGCTGGCGTCTTCCCGCCAAGATTGCAGCGGGCGGAGCGGGGAGGGGGGAGAGGAAGGGGCGGCGGGGGGAGGGGAGAGAGGGAGGAGTAGCGCGGCTGGGGCGGGGCCTGCGGGCAGCTCAGAGCAGTTCTGAAGCCAGCTGGCGGGACCGGGAATGGGGCACGCGGGTCTCGCGGTCCTCTCGGTACGCGTCCAGCTCACCCAGCCTCACCCCCACACTCAAATTCTCTAGGAATGCGATTGGACCGAATCCACATTTTTACCTTAGGTTGGGTATTTTTGATGCTGCTGATGCCAGTATCTCGCTTTGAAAAACACTGGCGCTTCTGAGGAAAAACCACCTTGCCTTGCAATGTGAGCCTAGAAAAGATTCAGGCGCACTTACATGCCTTATGTTTAGGCTAGAAAATCGAAACCAACATGCAGTCTTTACCTGAGTCCCCTGGTTCCTCATAACCCGCCCCCCCTCAAGAAAATCATGCCCTATGGCTACCATATTACCTTCTTCCTAGGAAGGGAAGCATTTTGATTTTTTTCAAGAGCTGATAAGCTGGTTTAAATTTCACCTAGTTATCTGCCCACCATTTAACCAAGAGCCTAGTGATGACCTTACAAGGCCCAAAGGCCAGAAAAAGTTGTGAATCGAATCCTTGTGTCACAAAGTAACAAATAAGATTTTAGTGTCCTGTATTTCTTACAGTCACAGCCATATTTAACTTTTTTTTTTTCCTATTCTTTGAGTTGCTGTGAGTCAAAACAATCGTTTTCTCATATTTACTCCATCTGGACAGCATGGTTTTGGAGCTGTTAAATTCAAAATATAAATTTCTACCTAGTCTGTTTTTAAGACCCTTTTCTTTCTACCCCATAACTGCTTCCCTGGTCAGTTACACGGATCCTTCACTGTTCCTTGCTCAAGACTTGCCCCATTTTCTTTTCTTTCCCAGTCTAGACCCAATTTTACAACATAGGTGAAATGATTTGAGAACTAATCCTATTAACAGTAACATCAGGGCCCTCCATGATCTGGTTCTCACCAAACTTTCACCACTCCTTGACTCAAAAATCAAACAAAATCAAACTTTTCAGTGTTTGATACATGCCGTGCTATTTGTAGACATGCTGTCCCAACTCTCCCTATCACAACACTTAGGAAATCCTTTCTGTGGTGAAATGCTGACTAATAAACCTATATATATATATATGTTTTACAAATCCAGCTAGTAAATTGATTGCTCTATAAGACTTCCTAAATAAAATTCAAGCCTTTAAGCAATATTCTATACTCCTTAAAGAGCTAAACACAGTAAACACAGCAAGTACTTAATAATTACTCATGCACTTATGTAAAAAGTCATGTCTACCCAGGAAAGTTTTAATAGACGGTCTTGAGAAACTGAAAAAAACTGGAAAGCCTAAAAGCACACCGTTCTGACTTCGGGCATTCATTGCTTCAGGCACCTTACGGGATTTTTTTCCTTTTTTCATGGCAATGGCGTAAATCATCAACACCTGCCCTCACGTGAGGAAAAAAATACCTCACCACAACCCACTCAGCCTCATCAACTGAGCTAATCAGGGGCTATTATCAGGACTTCTATTCTCATTAAACTCCAATTCTGAGCTTTCAAGAGTCTGGACAAACTGCCTTTCACTATCCACTCAATTCCTTATTCATCACTATCTCATTTTCCTCAGCTTCACACAAAGCTAACAAAAGATGGGCGGCCCCGGTGGTGCAGCGGTTTAGCGCCGCCTGCAGCCAGGGGTGTGATCCTGGAGACCTGGGATCGAGTCCCGCGTCGGGCTCCCTGGATGGAGCCTGCTTCTCCCTCTGCCTGTCTGTCTGTCTCTCTCTCTGTCTCTATGAATAAATAAATTAAAAAAAAAAAAAAAAAGCTAACAAAAGAAACCCGTAATTCGGACCTGCCTCGCCACAGGATCTTAACAGCAAAGCCCAACGGGAAGCAATTTCCCGCCAGAAGCGGCGTCGAAACTCTGCGAGACGGAGGAAGCTAGAGCAGCCTCGGAACATGCGCAGTAGCAGAGTCCACGCCCACAATCCCACAATCCTCTGGTCGCATATTTCCGGTTTCTCTATCTCAGACGTAGGTGGTGTTTCTATCTGTTGCGCGGTGGTGCCCAGCGCTTCCAGAAGAGGTTTTTTTTTTTTTTCGTTGACGTTGTTGCGGTTCACTGTTTGGAATCACTGAAGTTTCGGGAATCGCTGCGGCTGCCATCAACATGTCGGTCCCAAGCGCACTCATGAAACAACCGCCCATTCAGTCTACGGCGGGGGCCGTCCCGGTTCGCAATGAGAAAGGTACGGTGCTGAGCCGGTTTCCAGTCGGATTTTACCTCTTCCTTTCCCAGCGTACTGCAAACCTACCGCAACAGACCACCCCAACCCTACCGACCCTTAAGACGCTGCCCCCAAATATCTTCGACTTTTCCCATCAAACTCGCACCCGGTCGCGTTGCCTAAGGAGGAAAATACCCACTTCCATCTCATCTTGTCCCTGTCGCCCGGCGGCTGCTCTCACAGCAAGCATCCCTCGTCCTTTGGCCTCCACTGTTAAGTTAGACTGTATACACAGTAAATGCCTGCTTTTGCAAGGCGTTGTGCGGAATACGGTCCCTCTTTTGTTATCCGTAGCAGTCTGTGCCGCTTCTATAACTCTTATGTGTCTGTCTCCCTCTACTGCATCATAAACTCAACGTCATTGAGACAGGAACCGTGTCTTATTAAACTTTTTATTCCTTTCAACCAACGCTGTGACTGTATGAAGTTGAATACACACTTGTGTGAGGCAGTGCCCTTAATTAACCTAAAGAAACTCATATTGTAGGTGTGAGACATGCAAAAAGAGACATTCTAAGCAGTGTGATTCCTGTCACATAGGTGATATAAACCAAACGATATGGAAGTGTAGAGAAGGAATAATCTTTTCAGATTGAGGTAATCTAAGAAAGCTTCTTGAAGAAGATGGCATATAAACTGATCCTTAAAGGATCAATAGAATTCCAGTGCAGATAGAAGGAACACTGTACATGTTTGGAAGGGGTTAGACTAAAGAGTCCCTTTTTTTCAGGAAGGATTTTGGAAAATAATATGAGCTCCCTTATTTTTTAAACATAACAGTACCTAATCTTGTGCAACTTGCCTTTTTTTAAATTCAAGGTGGCTTTTGAGAAATATCCTTTGATATATAAAGAGCTAATTCATTCAACTACTTATAAATTCTGTTGTATAAATGAACCAGTTTATTCCTTCCTGGGGGACAGTTGTGTTGTTTTTTCTATTATAAACAGTGCTGTAATTGGCCTTTTTTTTTTTAAAGTAATCTTGACACCCACCGTGGGGATCAAACTCATGACCCCAAGATCAAGAGTCATGTGCTCCACCAACTGAGCTAACCAGGCATCTGTTGTAGTTGTCATTCTTAAATGTGCCTCTTTAGTGCACTGTGTAAGAATTTCTCTAGGGTAGACTCCTAAAAGTTCATCATCAACCTAACTAGCTATTTCCAGTTGCTCTCCACAGTGGGTTGTAAGAGCATTAGGAGTTTGTATTTACCCATATATTCATCCACACACTTAGTTGTATCAGATTTTTAAATTTTGTCCAATCGAATTATGAAATATCTCATTATTTTAATTTGCATTTCCCTGATTACTAGTGAGACTAAGCATTTGTCAGCTATCTAGGTGTTCTCAGAATTAGCTGTTTCTGTCATTTATCCATTTTCTACAGTTTTTCTACATCCCAGATCTCTCATATCTTTTTCCTGTTTTGTTTTGGTTCTTTGTCTTGTCTTTTCACTTTAATTGTGGAGTTTTCTGTTTCATAGGCCTTTTTAATTTTAGTGTTTTTGGATTTATCAATTTTATCTTTTATAGCTTGTGTTGTTTTGGTTTTTGTTTTTTTAAGATTTTATTTATTTATTCATGAGAGACAGAGAGAGAGGCAGAGACAGACACAGGCAGAGGGAGAAGCAGGCTCCATTCAGGGAGCCTGATGTGGGACTCGATCCCGGGTCTCCAGGATCACGCCCTGGGCCAAAGGCAGACGCTCAACCACTGAGCCACCCAGGCGTCCCTCTTGTGTTGTTTTGTATATTGTGTTAAGAAATCCTTCCCTATACTGAGATCAATTAGAAATATTTTCTCAGTGTTTCTATATCCTAAATAGGATTGAATACAAAATTATGCAAGACAGATTCTAATTTAAGGAGCTTGTAATCCAGGAGGGATGTAAGTGTTTTAAGATTTTTTTTTCACACGTGGGTCTTTAATCCATGTGGAATGTTTTGTGGGTGTGGTGTCAGAAATCTAATTTTCTGTTTATGGTTAACCAGTTGTCCGTACAATTCCATTGTTTGACTAACCCATCCATTCTCCACTGCTTTTTAATGTCACTTCTGTAACATACCAAGCTCCTGTGTATAGGTTTGCTTGCTCTCTACTCTGTTCCATTGGTCTCTATATACCCCGGAGTCATTAATATATTGTTTTAATCACTGTAAGTTTAAACTAAGCCTTGCAATCTGATATAGAAACCCTCCTCCACCTCACTACCTTCTTTTTTTTAAGCCTTTATTGTTATTAAAATATTATTTATTTATTTATTTACTTATTTATTTGAGAGAGTAAGAGAACATGGAGGGTAGGGAGCAGAGGGAAAAGGAGAAGCAGGCTTCTCTTGCAGTGACCAGCAGGGAGCTTGATGTGGGGCTCCATCCCAGAACCCAGAGGTCATGACCTGAGCCAAGGGCAGATGCTTGACCAACTAAGCCACCTGGGCACCCCAAGACTTTTATTTTTTTATATCAATTTTATGTTTACATTTCCCATATACCCTCTGCTCTGACACATGCATAGCCTCCTCCATTATCAACACCCTCCACCAGAGTAATACATTTGTTGCAGTTGATGAACCTACATTAACACATCATAATCACCCAAAGTCCATAGTTTACATTAAGGTTCACTCTTGGCATTGTGTATTCTGTGGGTTTAGACAAATATATAATGACGTATAT